TTGTGTGTGTGTGTGTGTGTGTGTGTTAATTGCAGCAGGGTTTTTTTTTTAAATGTCATACTTAACTGGGTGAAAAATTAATCTTATGCCTATCATATTGACGCCTTAAAATTGCAATTCATACTGATTGAATGTTTACATGTCTTTTGCATTTTATTTTTTACATTTACGTTTACATTTCAGTGCTTTAAGCTTTCTAGCTGATAGAATGTGAATAATTGTTGATCATGTTTTGGAAACATTACCGTGTAGAAATATGCATTGAAATAAGGCAACTTATCAAGATTCATGACATTACAACAAAGGGAAGGGATAAATCTGTCTCTTCCTGGGGTTTTTTCCCCTCCCTCTGGATCTAATAGTTTTTAAGGGCTGTATTGGGCCAGTTCCTTGTTCAAAACTACATTTTATTCATTTACCATGTTTCCCCCCAAAATAAGACCTTGTCTTATATTTTTTTGCCACCTAAAAGGCACCAGGTCTTATTTTGGGGGGGATGTCATCCACTGACTAACCTCACTTGTGCGCATCACCCCTGGCCTCCTTTTCGCGGTCCAAGGCCTTCAGGAACTTCTTCTTCTGTGGCTGGCAAGGCTTTCAGGATCGATCCAGAGCTTTATTATCAGCTACAGAGGCTTTCAGGAAAGCCTTGCCAACCTTGCTGGCTACAGAAGAAATGGGCTGGCAAGGCAGGTGTCAGGGTGCGCAAGGCCTGGCTCCAACTGTCCAAAGTAAGTAGTAGGGCAGCTCCACCATCCCCACCCTGGTTTAATTTTTACTCGTGCACTTGAGTGGGTGGGATCTTAATTAGGGCTTATTTTGGGAGGAGGGCTTATATTGGGCGCACATGTAAAAATCAAGCTAGGACTTACTGTCAGGGTAGGTCCTATTTTTGGGGAAACGGGGGTGTCACTTTTTCAACCGCTTGTCTGCCTCACCACGCGAGTCTTCTCTCCTTAAATAGCCTCTGAATTGTTTTGTTTTTTTCCCTTCTTCCTTCCTTCCTTCTAGGATGGAAGATCAATTTGCTGCTTTGCACGAGAACCCTGACATGTAAGTCTGGATTTTCAGTCGGACATCCGATGCAGGCCTTAATGTAGGCGATGGTGGCTAAAAGCTTGCTGTCTCTGCAAATGGAGGCGATGCTTTCCAGTAGGGAGCGCCCACACTTAGCACAGTATAATCCTAGGGCTGGAAGGGGGCTTGGAGGTCTTCTAGTCCAACTCCCAGCTCAGGCAGGAGACCCTATAGCCAGGGGTCAGCAACCTGCAGCTCTGGAGCCGCATGAGGCTCTTTCCATCTCTCTGCTAGCGGCTGCCTGTCGCTCGAAACATGGGTCGCAACCACCAATGTGCGACACCCACCGGGATTCGATTTTATTGAGCTTTTCGACCCCCGGTAGGCCAACCATGGATAAATCCAAAAAAAGAGAAAAGTTTCAGAAGAAAACAGAACATCTAATTCAACTACAGATGCCTAGTTTTGCGGCCGCTCGGGTAAACAGTCAAGCACAGGAAGGGTTTTGTGGCTCCCGGTGTTTTCTGTGTCAGGATTCCAGCAATCACCCTAATTAAATCATGATTCTCGAGCCAAGCTTCAAAAACTCCAAGGGATTCATTAGAAGCAACATACGGGCACTGCCCTGTATGAAGCCAACTCTGGCATACATGATTTACAGTCCCCTGTGACCCTGTTTCCCCCCTCCCCCCAGGGTGGTGTCATAAGTCAGATTCTCCAACTGAGCACCTTCACGGGCTGAGTGTCATCATTCATGTTCTCCAAATTAAATATATTCGCGGGCAAAAACTCCGGTATTTTAGTTACAATCTTTTAAAGATAAAGAGTTGGAATGTACTTTTTGTGGCAACTACTAAAACAGGCATAGGAATGTTTTTATGAGTTGACATTCTGTTGAGAAACAGGTCCAAATGGCTCTTGGAGTGTTTAAGGTGCCGACCCCTGCCCTATGCCATTTCACACAAATGGGCTGTCCAAACTCTTCTTTAAAAGCCTCCAGGGATGGAGTACCCACAACTTCTGAAGGCAAACCGTTCCACTGATTAAGTGGACCTCAGCCAGTCCTGGAGTATTGAAGATTTGTCCTGAAATGAATACAAACTCCAGCTCCTTTGTAGTGCAATGGTGGTTTATTCATTAGCTCAGCAAACAACAAACACTCTTCTCTGACAAAAATGGCTAAAAGCCAGACCAGGTTAGAGTTGGGTTCGAGTTTGCTCCCTTTCCTTTTATTACACTTATCATGAGACACACCCCACCACACCCAGGCCTATACGCAGTTCTAATTCTGGCTACGCCTAACCCATTATCCCTAAATGCTGTTAACGCTATAACATGTCTACATCCCTACCCTCACTAACTGATCCCCACCTGGTGCCGCCTTCACCATGTTTTAACCTAAGGCTTAACTACCACCTATATGTGCCCCAACCCCCTTTAACAATATGCACCACATCAATACATGAAAAGAGCCATTTCCAGCAGCCCCGCAGTTGCTGCAGAATCCATCCTCCTTCCCCGTAGTTGTTGCAGAATCCATCCTCAGCTCTGCTGAGTCATTCCAAAGCCATCGGCCAGCACACAAGCAGAAATGCAGATCCAGCAGCGGTAGAGATAAGGTGATATGGCCAAGCTGACTTGCTGCGCAGCATATTTGGAGCTGAAGGGCTCCGAGTGAACCCGGAGCCTGATAGGCGGTCCCCTCTACCAGAGATCCACCTGTAAAGCAAGTTCACTTGGAGCCCGTCAGTGGAATCATTAAACAAATAAATGAATTGGAAGCGGGGGGGGGAAGCATCCATGCAGCCCACTTTTGCCTCAATTAGGCGAGAGAAAGAATTGGCCCTTGAATCTGTGCCTTGTGCTTTTTTGTGCAGAATCATTGCAACCCCTGGCCGGTTGATGCACGTAGCTGTCGAGATGAAACTGCAGTTGCACAGTGTGGAGTACGTGGTCTTTGACGAAGCAGACAGGTGAGCCGTTCTTCCCAACCCTCCATTAGGGGACTCCTGGGTTCCTCCATCTTGGGGGTGAGACGCTGATCCTTGGCAATAACTCCCCCCGCCCCCAAAACTCAACCTCATAGTTTGCTCGCATACAGTCCTCACTTAGAGACCATTTGAAGATGTGAGCAACCCCCCCAAAAAAAGGCTTTCTCACGCTGGATTTTTGGCAGCGGTGCAGGAATCTTGAGTGTCAGGATTCCGGCGATTGCCCTAATTAAATCATGAGCCTTGAGCCAAGCTTCAAAAGAATCCAAAAAGATTTATTAGGAACAACATGTTGGCATTAACCCATAGGTAGCCCACTCTGCCACACGTAATTTAGGGTCACCTGTGACCCTATTCCCCCCCCCCCCGGGTGTGTCATAAATCAGATTCTCCAGCGAAGCCAGGCTGGTGTCATCAATCACATTTCCCGATGAAGGATTTTCATGGGAAGAAGATCCAGTAGCCTAGGCTACAATCTTTGTAAGATAAGCGTGGAATGTAGCTCTGGTTTTAATTGCCGTACTGCTCTTTCAGGTCCCCCCCCCGCTTATGGCTACTCGGAAACAGGCAGAGGAATGCTTTACGAGTTGACACCAAGGCTGTCTGGATCTCCTACAGAATCTGTTTCAAGGCCCTGTTCTTCTCTCACCCTACCAGGTTGTTTGAGATGGGCTTTGCCGAACAGCTGAAGGAGATCGTCTCCAGGCTGCCTGACGGCCGCCAGACGCTGCTCTTCTCTGCCACCTTGCCAAAACTTCTTGTGGAGTTCGCTCAAGCCGGTGAGAAGATGGTCCAGGCTGTGATTGTTTTCTCGTGGGGTGGTTGGGGAGCTGGACGTAACGTAGAGGAACGTATTGGGGTTCTTTCTGACATGAGTCTCTTTCTTGGCTTGATACAAGCTGAGATCATCTCATCTTCTTCCTCTTTGCCTGCATTCTGTGCCTTGAAACGGATACATGGTTCTTGAAACTGGGTTGAGTAACATGTAGACTGCCAAAATTATTACTGTGCAGCATATGATGAGAGCGTGGCCTAGAGGTGGAGCTCTCCCCTGACAATCAGGAGGCTGTGAGTTCAATCCTAGGTAGAGGCAGATATTTCTCTCTGGGCACAATGAAACTATTATCTGCTGAACAAAACTCCGTATTGGCGACAAGAAAGGCATCCGGCCAATAAAACACACTGCTAGCTCCATTCAGTTGCTCAGACTCCACTCCGCAAGGGATTATGGGTTCATTAAACGATGATGACGATGAGAGCATGACCGAAGAGAAGTAGACATATATAGAGTCTCATCACCCTCATGGTAGCCGTTGTCCATCTGTTGTGGGATGAAGGCCTCTTCGGCCTGTTTCCAATCCAGATGGTCCTGGGGCTTTCTTTGGCCAATTGGGCCTGCTCTACCTGCTGAAGCCCACTGGTCCATCTTGTTATAGGTCTCTTTCATGGATGCTTTTGATCAAGTGGGATCCATTTTAGGACCTGCCGTCTGTTCTTCGTGCTGACCCGCCCTTGACTTGAAACCGTTCCATCGTAGGGTCTGCTCGCGCCCAGCGACTTGACTGTCCGTTCGTCTTTCTCTTAGGTCTCACAGAGCCGGTATTGATCCGACTGGATGTGGAATCCAAGCTGAGCGAGCAACTCAAGGTAGGAACGGTCAACATCTCCTTATAACGGCCCACTTGGGATAGGGTAGAGATGATTCAGTAGGAGGCTTGGGTTTCTGGGATCTTTTTTTTTTAAAAAAAGTTCAAAAAAATACGGTTGTTCCTGGTTGTTGAGATAACCTCTCCAGGAAGGAAGAAAATTAAAAGAGAGCAGTTGATTGTTAAATGAAAGGTAAAGGTTCCCCTGGCACATATGTGCTAGTCGTTTCTGGCTCTAGGGGGGCGGTCCTCATTTCCAGGACAAAGCTGAAGAGCCAGCGCTGTCCGAAGACGTCTCCGTGGTCATGTGGCCGGCAGGACTAAACGCCAAAGGCGCACGGAACGCTGTTCCCTTCCCACCAAAGTGGCCCCTATTTTGCTACTTGCATTTTTGTACGTGCTTTCAAACTGCTATGCTGGTAGAAGCTGGGACAAGGAACGGGAGCTCAGTCTGTGAGGAGGCACTGGGGATTCGAACTGCCGACCTTTTCTGATCGACAAGCTCAGCATCTTAGCCACTGAGCCCCCCCCGTGTCCTAGATGGCCTCAAGTCAGACCAGTTTCAGAGTTGACACCTTATTTTGATGTAGGCTATTTATTTGTTATGGCCGAATAATAGGCCCATTTTGTGACTTCCTGTAATACCAGAAGTGATGAAACAGGCCTATTATTTGGCCTGAAAAGCCTTGCTTTTCCCAAGCCTCTGGGAGGCCAAAAAAGGCCTCAAACCAGCTGGAAAATCAGCTGTGAGGCACAGTGCAGGTAAGGGGGTGGGGATGGCGCGCGCATGCGCAGGTGGTGTGGTGCATGTGCATTGCATTCTGGGTGCTGGCATGTGAGTGTGCGTGCTAGCACGCACAAAATTTTGGGCACAGGAGCCCCCAAAAGGTTAGCCACCACTGGTATAAGGTCTCCTGCCTTATAAGCATGGGGTTGGACTAGAAGTCCTCCCCAGGTCCCTTCCAGCCTTGTGATCCTGTGTCCTGACCTCCTTTTCCCTAGCTCTCGTTTTTTCACGTGCGAGCTGACGACAAGCCCGCCCTTCTCTTGCATCTGCTGAGAACAGTGGTCAAGCCACAAGACCAGACCATTGTGTTTGTGGCCACCAAACATCACACAGAATACCTGAAGGAGGTATGTGCCCTACAAAGAGGGTTTGTAGTTCTCGCCTAACGAGGGTCCACGTAGCAACACCGTTCAGACTTACAGCGGATTTCTTGCACAAAATCTGGGGAACGGGGGCATTTTTTTCCCCCCGTAGGAGTTTGGAGTTTTCTCTCGGTGCCCAGGTGAGAACTAAAATGTATGCCCTAAGGAAATTAAAAAAGGGAAGGGAAAGGGAGGAGAAAAAAAAACCCCATTCAGGTAGTTCTTGACTGACAGCATTCATCCAATAACCGTTTGAAATTACAGTCCTCGACTTAAAACAACAATCGAGCCCAAAATGTATGTTGCTGAGTGAGTTTTGCCCCATTTTATGAGTTTTCTTGCAAGAGCGGTTAAGGAAATCATTGCAGTTACTAAATTAGTACCTGGTGGTTAAGCAAATCTCTTCCGTCCCAAGGTCCGGCCCATAGATTTCCACTGCTCTCCTCTCCTCTCTGCCTTCTGTGCGTCTGCAGTCAGGCACTGGGCCCAGCTGTTCCTCCTCTTCCTCATCAGCCACCTCCAGACCTGGGGGCTGTTGACTCTCCATCTGAGGGCTGACGGGCGGCCCAGGCTACCTCCCTCCCTCTCCCTCCCTCTCCCTCTCTCTCTCTGCCAGCTCCATTCCCTCTTCCCGCTCAGAACTCCCAGGTTATCCGGATTCTGACCCCGATTCCCACGCCTCCTCCGATTCGGCTGCCTGGCCACAACAGCTTGCTGACTTTTTCCCGGCATGACGGATGCGTGTCTTTTGCAGCTGTTGACCCTGCAGGGGGTGAATTGCACCAACATCTACAGCTCTCTGGACCAGACGGCTCGCAAAATCAACATCGGCAAGTTTGCTCATGGCAAATGCTCGGTGCTGATTGTCACCGATCTCGCCGCTCGCGGGATTGACATCCCTCTTCTGGATAATGTGATTAACTACAGCTTCCCAGCCAAGGCTAAGCTTTTCCTGCACCGCGTCGGTAAGTTTCTTAAAGTCTGGAGCCTTCCAGGGTTATTTTTATGATGCTGTGGAGAAGAGGAGGAGGTGGAGGAGACTGTGGGGGCTTTGATGTTTTCTTGCAGATGTTTCAATACCCAACTAGATAACATCATTTATTCAGGGGTTTTATTTTATTTTTTTAAAAGGGGGGAATCTTGGTAAGTTGGGTTGGTTTTGGTTTTTTTGTTTCCCTGTCCCTGCGTTTCATGCTAAAATCGCTTCGTTCTTTTTTGTGTGTGTCTTTTTTCTTGGTGCATGTCTGTGTTTTTTGGTCCTTTTTATTTAAAAAACCCTTTCGACTTTTCGTCTTCTCCCTATAGGCAGAGTGGCTCGTGCGGGGAGGACTGGAACAGCCTACTCCCTTGTGGCTCCAGATGAGATCCCTTACGTTTTTGACCTGCACCTGTTTCTGGGACGGCCACTGGTCTTCGCCAGTCCTCATCAGAAGCCCACAGGTAGTCCTCAACTTAACAACTGTTCGCTTAGTGGCTGAAGTAATAAATAAAACGGCGCTGAATAAAGTGACAGGACCATGAGACGTGGTGACTCAAGGGTTAGAATGCAGTAAAGGTTCCCCTTGCTCCTACGTACTAGTCGTTTCTGGCTCTAGGAGGCGGTGCTCACCTCCGTTACAAAGCCGAAGAGCCAGCGCTGTCCGAAGACGTCTCCGTGGTCATGTGGCCGGCAGGACTAAACGCCTTCGAAGGCGCACGCAACACTGTTACATTCCCACCCAAGGGATTCCTATTTTTTCTCCTTGCATTTTTTACACCTTTTGAACTGCTCAGTTGGCAGAAGCTGGGACAAGGAACGGGAGCTCACTCCGTAGGGATGCGAACCGCCGAACCGCTGACCTTTCTGATCGACAAGCTCAGCATCTTGGCCACCGCACCACCGCGTCCCTTTGTGTCTGCAGTATTGCAGGTTGATTCTGCCCACTGCCAGCAGTTCGATTCTCTCTTATGACTTACTGAATTTCTGGCAATAATGGAGCTCCTTTCCTGTCCCCCTCCCAGATTCAGATGGCGTTTTTGGCCGTGTTCCGCAAATCGTCCTAGATGATGAGGAGAGCTTGCTACAGACTGACCACGAGCGTTCCCTTGACCTGCAGAGCCTCCGTCGTGTCTCCGACAATGCCCTGAAACAGTACCAAAAATCCCGGCCAAGTTCGTCCTCCGAATCCATCAAGAGGGTCAAAGAAATGGAGTTCAGCCTGGTAGGGATTCATCCCCTCTTCAGTGAGTATTTCCGGATGTTGTGAAGTACTATAAGGAAGTTCCTTCTCAACTTTGGCCACGTTAAGATGGGTGGACTTCAACTCCCAGAATACCCCAGCCAGCAGGCTTCACCCATCTTAAAGCATCCTGGCTGGGGAATTCTGGGAATTGAAGTTCACCCGTCTTAAAACATGCTGGCTGGGGAATTCTGGGAATTGAAGTTCATCCGTCTTAAAACATGCTGGCTGGGGAATTCTGGGAGTTGAAGTCCACCCACCTTAACATTGCCAAATTTGAGGAATGCTGTTTCAAGGACTGGATGAAACCTGGTTTTATCGTTGGCTCATTTTGAGGCGGACTTTGGGCCTTGCGTGAATCTAGTCTCTTTGGTTAGAGAACTTAATGGTCCATGCATGTGTGAGCAATGGATTCCTCCAATCAGGAGTAAATAGGATGTGGGAATCCAGTTGTATAGGCTTCCTAGAGCACCACAGTTGACCCTTCTTTCATTTTTGGTCTCTTTTAAGGTTTGCGTTTTGAGGAGGATGAGATGGCGCAGCTGAAATTTGTGGACAGCATCAAAAATTATCGTTCTAAAGCGGTAGGTGTAGCCAGGACTTTGGGTTCCAGGTTTCAATTCTGCTTTTGTGATCCTTTGGAAGTCCTGTGACATCTTGTAGGGTTGGTCTGTTCTTCCGCCATAATTTTTGCAGCCGAGAGCAGTTTATAATTTTCATTCATTCATTCATTTGTATTTCACCTTTCTGTCAATAAGTCAAGGTGGATTAATCAGTCAATGCTACTTCCTTCTTCTGTTTCCTCTCAAAAACTAACCCTGTGAGGTGGGTTGGGCTGAGGTAGGTGACTGGCCCAAAGTCACCCAGCTGGCTTTTATGCCAAAGGCGGGACTAGAACTCCCAGTCTCCTGGTGATTGGCCCAAAGTCACCCAGC